ATTGCTATTTAATTTATGTACTATTACAAAGTCTGCTTTACCTGTCTATCATCAGCTTAGTGGACATCCAATGCCAACAATTGGGAAACACTTCTGGAAAAGGATATAAACTTATATTACAACTGTAAAATAATGATAACTAAATTAAAAAATAAATAAAAATGAATCAGAAACAGCCTCTAGCATGAATTTGTCTTTTATTACTTTTCAGATAATGTAGGTAAGATATTATTGATCATCACATAGATATTATAGCTATTTAATTTATGCACTATTACAAAGTCTGCTTTACCTGTCTATCATCAGCTTAGTGGACATCCAATGCCAAGAATTGGGAATCACTTCTGGAAAAGGATATAAACTTATATTACAACTGTAGAATAGTGATAACTAAATTAAAAAATAAATAAAAATGAATCAGAATCAGCCTCTAGCATAAATTTGTCTTTCATTACTTTTCAGATAATGTAGGTAAGATATTATTGATCATCACATAGATATTATTGCTATTTAATTTATGTACTATTACAAAGTCTGCTTTACCTGTTCAGCAGTAGCATGGTTTTTATCCAATGCAATAGAATTGGGAAACACATCTAGAAAAAGATATATAACAACTACATAATATTGATAACTAAATTATATAAAATATCTAATGGATTTTAAAAAGTGGTGCATCAAACTTATAGTAACTTTGCAGCCAGATGATGATTATCATCATCATGAACATATATGATATCAAATATATGCCATTTTTCAAATTATAACCTAAAATTTAATTACGTTAAATTCCGCCACATGGTGCTTATTATTCCCACAATGCAATATTTGACAAAGGGACTTTGAATGTACTACTTACCATCATATAGTTGTACAGTATCGTTTTAAAATAAAAGTGAACACGTGTTCGATTCATTTTATTACCGAAATTTTAATTCACCGTTAAATCATGAAACAACATTAACTAACACTATTTCATAAGTAAATTCGAGTTGTTTATGATTAATTTAGTGAGGATATAAATAAAAAATAACCCTTTTGGAAAATAAAGAACAGTGAATTAAAATAAATAAATGCGTCATCAATGCAATATGAGGCGCCAGCAACACGACAGCACACGACAGACAATTTTGATTTTGTGATATTGCATCACAGTACAATCATGGGGTGGGATTTGGTGGGTAAATTTGATTCGCTTTCGACAAGACTTTCGGTCAGCTATTCCTGACCTATGATTTTTATGATGTGCGCAGTAAAGTCGCTAGTTAATTAATTCGCCGCTTTAACAACGCCTATCTGACTAAAATACCTATATCACTAAATTATTTTTATGTTATTTAAAAAAAACCTAACCGCCACTTGACCTAGACCACTGCATATGAAAATATCCATATTACTAACATTTTCTCGGACCTAGGGCACTAGTGTGGATAAGGATATAAATACGTCTATAAATTATTGATATGTATTTCTAAAAAAAAACCAAAATCAATACAATCAAAAAGAAATGTAATTTATTGTTGTACAGAAAAATAAGTCATAATAAATATAGGGTATGCATTTATTACATTGAGATATCGCGAATCAAACTGTGATAACTGCTAAATGATTTATCACATTGAGATATCGTGTTTCAAACTAGGATAATTGCAAAAATACAAAAATTGAACACTGTACCACAGATCACAAATGTTTCTGAATCAATGGCGTCTAAAGTAAACAAAACTATAAGCGCCGCGATTGCGCATTCTCATAAATTATAGGTAAAGATTAGAGAACAGACTCGCTTCTCAAGTTTCGTATTTAAGTGGAATGGGTTAACAAAGATAAGATGTGCGCGTTCATCTTTTTGTTTTTAATAAAACATCTTTTTGAAAGTTTCTGTATTTAATTAAAAAAATACACATGTAAAATATAAAATCTATACATACATTTTCTTGCATAATATAAATGCATTAATAAACAATATTTCATTCTAAAGTACAAGCACTTTGCTTGTACAAATAATAAAAAAAAAATAAGACATATCCTAACTAATATTATAGATCAACTCTCCATCATTTATTGTTGTTATATTTTGCCCTGATCTAACATTGTCTTCAATAAAAGTCTTTAGCTGTTTCGTAACAGAAGGCATAATAAATATTTTTGATAACAAATTGTAGCATGGTTTACTGCAATTTAATATAGAACAAGCTAGCATTTTATCTAGTTTAGTGTATAGTCTTCCAAATTTCTCCCTATGTGTATTGTTAAGCTGACTTCTTATGAAGGACTGGACTTGACCACTTAGTAAATGAAAGCTTTCAAATTCTTTAAATGACTCAGCCTTGTTTTTTAAAGAAATTACTTTTTTCTCCATATGTCTTAATTTTCGTTTCACACCTGTCATCTCTTTAATTTTCGCTTTCTTTTCATTTTCCATATTCATTATTCTTGCTTTTAAATTTGCTATTTCCATTTTCATTTTAGTTTCAGAATCTACTTGTATCACACCCTTTGTTCTATAACTATTGTGGATTATAGTAGATGCTGGTATTTGCTGTGTTTCAATGCTTTTGAACATGTTTACTGACTTTGTGTTTGTTGAATTGTCCTTCTCTTTTAGCAAATCTAAGTTCATACATTTGGAAGGACAAATCTGGCTTGAAATATCTGTTATTTTCATATCACTTTCTTCAGAACTATTTCCTATTGTAGAATATGTAGATAATTTAGTTGTTGCATCTTTTTCTTTTGATGTATGAGGATTGCATGAATCTTTTTTTAATATTTTATTTTTTGCAAGTTTGAAACGTGGATTTACAATCGTTCCCATTTTGTTCACATGCATTTTCTTTTTCTTTCTTGTAACCTGCATCGGAGATGCTAATGTTCGTAGTATTTTATATTTTCCACTATTTTCTATCTTCGATATATCCGATGCTTTTATTTTTATAAATTTTATGGGATTCGAAACTGAATTAACGTTGTGGTTTTCAGGTTGTGATATTTTAATACCGCCTGAACTTTCTGTAATGATTTCATTTGAAGTAACTGTGTGAATGTCCAACATTGGATCATATTTTCCTAAATTCTCTGTTACAAGACTTACATCTGGTGACTTATTTGTTAATATTGATTTATTTAAGTTCAATTGTAGATTCAAATCATCTTGGCCAATCATTTCTGAAGTTGATATTGGAGGAACATTTTCCATTTTCTCAAATTGTTCTTGTTCTATTTTAATTACGTCTTTTTTTGTTAATTTAGAATTCAAATCTGAAAGTCCATTTTCATTAACTGCAATTTTGGATGACACTAAATCATTTGTTAGCTTTAATAACTCTATTGCTACTATTTTAGGTTGCAAAATTGATTGACACTCATTTTTACAGTTTAAATCTGGCAGAGTATCAGCAATATTCAGATCATTCCCATTGTTTAACAGATATTTAATTTTTGGATCCACATGTTCTTGAAGTTGGATTTTTTTTATTGGTTTAAGTTCTCGTATTATTTTATACTTGCCACTTTTTTCTAAAGCTTCTTTCTTTGATGCCTTTATTCTAATAAATTTGGAATTCTTATGCAATTTACATCCATCATTTACAAATATTGATGCTTTTTTCTCTTCCCCATTTTTAGTACCATTTACCAATAGGCTATTCCTAAGATTTTCAACTTTAATGTTTAATTTCTTATTTTCACATGATTTAGGTTTAACTGGTGTTTTTTTATTTCTAGGTATTAACTTTACATTTTCTCCATCAATTTGTACATATTGTTTTGCAACAACAAATTTTGGACATACATATTTTTTATCTTTTTTTTTTATCACTTCACTTGATGAAACCAAGTTTATACCTTCAGCAATCCTATCAATATCTTTTACTTCTACTGGTATACTTTCTGTTGGTACAGGTACATCAGTACTTTGAAAAGTTGGTCTTAACTTATATTGGTCAGAGAAATGCAAATTGCAAATCTTATATTTTCCAAATTTCCCCACTTCTACTTTGTGAAGTAACTCATTTCCAGTAGCAGCAATCCATTTCTTTAACATATTAATGTCTTTTGGAAATGATCTATATTTTATTTTTAATTTTCTAGATTCACTTTTACATCCTTTAACATTGCAGATATGCATTATGGAATATATTTAACGTCTAAAATGTATATTATTAATATATAGATAGTATTGAAATATTGTTAAACTTACCCAAGTTGTTTATAATTTGATGAAAAATAACACTATCAAGTATTTTATAAATAGATTGACAGGTTATTTAGAGAAAACGGTTCTTTTTGGAAGCTGAATTGTACCAACGGCGTCACCTCACGTAAGATTTTTTAAATAATTTTATAAAGATGAATTGATATTAATTGGAATAGAAGCATTAACAATTTAATTTATATTCAACTGCATTAAAAAATATCGTTACAACTCACTTCTTACACGCACTATCTTGAAAATATTGTTGGTTGGGCCACTGTGGTGGCGTAGTCATCGAATCTTAGTTGAACAGTAGTTCTTATAGAGGCGCCACTGGTGGCAAGCGACAAATAATTTAAATTTTGAAAATTGTTTACAAGAATCCAATGAAGGATTTTCCACTTACGAGAGATGAATGTTACTTAAATAAAATATTTATAAACAAAAATAAGTGCTTAATAAATGTTCATAAAATATAGTTTATAACTATTTTTATTATTATTATTACAAATACATAATAAAAATAGTACAAATTACATTATATATATTCATTACATATTGTATCTACAACTTTAAATAATGTTTAATATATAATAAAGGAAACAATAACAATATAAATAATAATTTAATGATTTATTTAAGTAAAACATATTCTTGAATATTCTTTTTGGTTCTATGAAGATATTCATTTACAAAAAATGTAGTTAGACAAAGAATTCCCTGCTTTGCAAGTGGTGCATAATCTTCGATATTTGTAACAGACTTTTGCTCCAATAAACAATGAGTTGCGTAAACGCTTTCAGTGAATGGTGGACTAAAGATAAACTGATTAAGAATAACAATTTTAATAACATATTAACGTACCTCATGTTGACCACCAAACCATCGCCCGCTTCTATAACTCTTACTATGGGTTCCTTTTTAGCAGCAACGACGATGGCTCTCATATCGTGAAATGCCCCGTAACCACGTTCAGTTATCTCTTTTCTCCAATAATGAACGCATTCGGCTCTCTCTTTATCAGCTACTTTAATCATTGGTAAACATTTCGAATTTCCAAACTCATACTTTTCTTCCTAAAAATGCACAGAAGAGAATTTCAGCCAAACAAAATCAGTTTAGTTTAATCAATATTACATCCAATAATTTTCCAGCTTCTGCAGAATCTTGAACATATGAAGTATGAAGCACCCATTTGCCTGCAGCCATCGATGCTAATAATTTTTCATTTCTACTTAATTTTGGACATATTAAATGAGTGCTAGAAGGGTCATAATTTGTTAATTCAGATACACCAATCCCTAACATTTCCAACATTTTAACAAGCTCTTCCCTTTCCTCCATTTCAACGCCAGATATCATAAACATTAATGGTTTATTTGTTTCTGGGACCTGCAAAAACAATATTTCTTAAAGTTATATAAGCAATAATGAATATATGTATTACATTGGATTGAGCAATTTCCATGTTATCATCCCAACCGACAGTCAACGGTTGAGATTCTTTTTCGTAATACGCTTCTACTGGAATTAAATCCAATTTTTTTGTTGAACTTCGTCTGGTTCCACCGCTAGCACGAATCATGTCTTGTAACTGTTGTAATTTTTCATTTACCAAACTAGTTTCTGAGGTTTCCTAAATAGCACGTATATATTTTTTAATAATAAAAGAAAATATGTTTACGTACTTCACCAGATGGTTCTTTGACAGGTGTAGTGTCCATTGGTTCATCTGCAGGTGGTGTCTCGCCTTCGAAATCTAATTTTGAGCAATAAGGTGTACGGAACTTACTCCATATTTTCTTTTTCAGTTCAGTGAGTGGCTAGAAAATTGTTGCTGAATATATACAATAACATAAATTTATCATAAAACCACTTACTGTACTTAATCGTCTATCTTTAGTCGGAGTAGGTTCTGGAATACCATCTAACCAACGTGCAAATTTTTTTCTGGTCTCCGGTGGCGGATCATCAACTGCATAACACCCTAAAGGAGATGTTGGGGTATCAACATAATCCCATGGTTTAGGAGTATTCGGGGTTGCGTTGTCCACAACTCCCCACGCTTTTTGCAATATTTGATTCACAGGCGTAATTTGGCTTGCAATATTATCTACACTATGCCTGTTATTTGGAGTATTTTCTTTAAAATTTGTTATATCTTTATTAATATCTTTCTTGGGTGTTTGTAACGAACTGTCTAGCGCTATATCCTGTGATGTTGATTGACGCTTAATTTTAGGAGAATATTCGGTTAGTTTATTAATTGATATATTAAGTTTGCTTGCAGTTTCAGAAGCAATTCTTGATCGAATACTATTACTTATAGCAGATTTGAGACTCGTATCAGTTAATCTTGAAAGCATTTCTGAAAGCAATTAATTATTTACCACACACACATATATAGAGAATTAATACCTGTGTTATGATTGAACATGTATTCCTTTTCTTCAGTTTTCTGGCCAAGCAATGCACAATTCAGAACCCAATCTTTTTTTAGTATTGGTAGGCCCCATTTTCTTGCAGCATCATATTTTTTTCCAGATTCTTCAATGCTTATCAAATGAGTTGAAATCAATATATTTTTTTCTTCGCGAACAACTCTTGACAACGAATCTTGCACCACTGCCCCCATTTTCTCGCAAAGCAATTTTAGGAACAATCTTTCAAATAAATCAAAACCACTTACAGCAATCACACAATCTTCTAAAGCATGATTATTCTTGACCATTATTGGTCTGTGGTAGTACATAATTTCGACGATACTGTTATATTCATAACATGCATTAATCCATATATCTGTGACCACTTCAGTAGCGGTGTGTTTAACTTCAGGATTGAATGTTGGTACAATTACGTAATCTGGTATTCCTTTGTAACTATTAGGAACGACAATTCCGCCCATTTTAGTTATAGTATGTATAAGTTCATCTGTATCATCTGACTTATGAGTAACAATTAGAAATTTGAGTTTAATGAAGATATTAGTACAATTAGTATCTTCCATAGTTATACTACATTCAGAAGTACTAGGTTCTGAATTATCACATGCAGGTTCAGTTTTGTCTTGTAATTTAGACTTATCTTGCATACTAATAAACTGTTTACTATTGAAGGAATTTAGCGCTAAAAGGGCAGCCAGCGAATCGTTTTCGTCTAGAAATATTTCAATAAAGACTTGTAACTTGTGTTTCTTGTAAACTTACTGTTTGTTGGAGGTATTGGTAGTTTATATTGCATCATAATTTCATCTGTTTCATTTGGTAATTGTTCAGGAGTAATAGTTTTGCAGGCATTATCAATATCCATCATTGAAACATCAGCTTTAAGTAATCTTAAACCCTTTTTACTCAACGGTGATCCATTTTCAGTGCTCGGGCTCGATAAAATTGATATCAAATACTGGTCTTCAGGCACTGGTTGCATGTTTTCCATACTATCTATCATCCATTTAATAGATACCACAGCGCATGGCAAATCTTTAGCAATTATCAATTTTAGTTCATGACATTTGTTGTCACCAACCACAATATGAGTTATTCGTTCAGAGACCACATCATAACGAGTTGCTCCACTAAAATTCAATACTTTGCAGAGTATTTCTCGCTGTTCTGAAGTAAAACCAGCCAAATAAATCTGAAAACATACATTATTTTCAACACTAAGGTTCGTTATGACTTAATTTAGTATATACGTACATTACATCCATCTAAGAAAGGACCAGCTTTTTTCACTGCTTTCATATTTATTGAATCAACTAACTCACTGCCTTCAAATGTCTGTTTGCATCCCTGTTTCTTGGTTATATTAGGTACAGTTGAATTAATAAGTGATGTGTTCACTGCAGTGTCTTGTAATAGAGATTTTGCAGATAACCCAACAATTTGGCTCATCATTGAAAAATCTGGGTCCATAAATTCTGTTCCTTTTGTAGGAGTTGATGTGCCCTTTTTCACAGAATAATTTCGTACCTCAGGAATAGCATACCCTTTTGCTATACTATCAAATACCCAATCAGCTGTTACACAAACTATATTATTCTTTCTTGCTGCTTTATATTTTTCACTTGTTGAACTAAAATAATGGTCATTCAAGAGAATAATTAATTAAAGTTATATTTTTTTATAAAAACATTTGGTTCTCCTTACCCACTGCATATAAGAAGATCTGTATTTTTCACTACAAGTTGCTTTGAAAAATGTCCTCCATTATCTTTAATAACTTTCATTAAATATTCTTTTTCTGTTGCAGAAGTTATTCCAGTTGCTGATATTTTTAAATTATTAAATATTGGGCACTTATGTTTGTTATACTCATCATTTCTATAATCAATATTTTCAAATATACTTGCATCCCATAAAACATCCACCCATGAAGGTAACATGATCTGCATGCCCATTGGTGCTGCTTTCTATAAATTTTATATTTTATAAGAAGTTAATACCAAATGTATGCACTTACATGATATTTTTCTGATTGAACACTATCTGTTATCAAGTGAGTATTTGTTGGAACTAATGTTTGAGTGTAATATCCTCCCATTGCCTGAATTTTAAATTGAATATCATTCTTCATCTCTTTCTTTAAATTGGAGCAAACCACAATGCAGCCATCCAAAAATATATTTCTTAATGGCCAATCTACATTTGGAATTGGCTTATTATAGTCTATACAATATTGAAGACACAATGGTCCCAAAATTCTGCTACAAAATTACATTATATCTTAAAAACAAAAATTAATAATAATTTAAATATGTACTTACACACTTTTTGTTTTGAGTGCAGCTTCATAAAAGATTCCCTTAAACTCTTGAAATACTAAAAAATCTGTTTTCCCTAGATCAATTGATTCTGCATCACCTTCTCTCACCCAATTTGTTTTCATAAGACTGGTTTTACATCTCTACAATATTTTATTCAACATTTTTTTGTTATATTTCTATTATTTAACATACACTATAACATTGCTGCATGACATCTGAAGTTTGAGTTTCATCTTCTAATTCTTCTGGTATAATAAATGTAACTTTGAATGCCTCCTGTGACATTTTAATATATTATGTTTCTTTGTTTAATAGAACTGCAATAGATATTTGGCGCGCTTGAAAATAACCTCAAAATAGTAAGAGTTACTAACAGTTACCGTATGTTTTTTTTTTAATATATGAACCAAAATATAACTTAGTATTTAGTTATATTTTACTTCACTCTTCTTTATCTTTTTTTCTGTACGAGGTATTACTGCGTGGTACTAAACAGCACTGTGGCTTATGGCCACCAACGGCAAATTTAAGCCACTGTGGTGGCGCAGTCAACAAATATTAAATCAACGGTAACGCTTGTCGTGGCGCCACCGATGAGAATTAATTTGAAATTTGAAAATTACTTATAAAATTTGAAGTAGAAGGAGCAGAATCAAGGGGATCAAGTCATGAGAAATCTGTTGTATAGCCACTGCGGTGGCGTTCCTTAATGCATGAAGAGCATAACGCAGCGCCACAACAGCAAATATAATTGGGCCAAATAATTTGAAATTTCAAACAATAAAATACTTTGGTGTATATTTTACCTATATTTACTTTATCCTTTTAAATAGTTTTTATTACTTTAACGTTTTTGCACTATTTACATTAGGAAACCACAACTGCTTGACTACTTTTAACTGAGTTTGTTCTGATCCAAATAAGTTTAATTATCATTATTAAACATTTTAGTCTTTCTTAAGACTTATATTACTAGTTATTAGTCTAATAATTAGTGAGTATTGTTAAATTGGTAAGAACATATTAGTAAATTTTATTTATTTCAATACATTATTATTAGATTTAGTGAGTAGTAGTAAAATTATTAACTAATATATGTGGTACCGAACTTGTAATAATATAAATGAACATTTAGTTGGCTAAATTTGCAGAGAAGCCTGTAACGATTTATGTAATTGTATAATTTGCAATAAATAGTAATATTAGATAATATAAAAGTAAATTATATTTATAAAATATCACCTTTAAATTTAATAAATATATATTGTAACAAATTCTAAAAATAAAAATAGACAAAAGTATATAAATTTAAAAACACATGTGATTGCTTTTGTTAAATATTTCAATTTATTTCAAATATATTTATGATCATTGGAATTCTGAATCATAATATTCATCATCCACTGTATTTAAAAGATCCAGATATTCACCAGCAGTATTTTTATTCTGCTTGCTTGTAATTGTAAATCCATCAAATAATTCTTTCAAATCGATTGTGCAAAATCCTGAACTTTTCAGAACATTTTCCACATTCATTTTACAATTATTATATAGCAGTTCCAATGCGGGCTCTATTGATTCTAAAACATATATAATATTACTATAATAATGTTATTAAAATTAAGAAAAAAACTTACTTTTATCAACTTTTGAAATATCAAACAATTGCTTATAAGACATTAGCTGCGAATATAGGTCGTTTTCAGTAAATCTTTTATACATAACACCGCTCTTACAAAGGGTACATATGGGATATTTGTTTACAAACGATTGTGGTAGCCTAGCAGTATTATTAGGACATCCTGGATCTTCACATGTTAATTCATTTGAATAGTACCTTTTGATAAAATTGCGTATTGTTTTTACTAGTTCATTTTGTATATATTGTGTACACTCGGCTGGTCGAATATTGCATTCACTATTTGTACATTTTTCAAAAGAAAGTTTGTTGTTGACTAATAGGCTGCTCACACTATTGATCTCTTTGCAACCAATGCAATTATATTTAAACGGTTCAGCGTTCCGAAAGGTTTTATCAAGTTTAAATGATTCATGTACACTTATTTCGCTCGGTTTCTTGACAAAATTTGTTGATTGAATATCTAAACAATTTGCTATTTCATATGCACTTGTTCCTTGAATTGGTTCACAAATTCTTGAAATAACTGGATGAATCTGTTGGGCCAAGTAATAATTTGTATCAATTTTAAGATTAGTAGAAGTTTTTAATTCCTCAATTAAATAAGCCCTCTGTGTTGCAGGATTATTTGTACCATCGTTGCAAATGATGTATGGAACAGTGTCACCAGCTTTGAATTTTTTCCCTTTTTTTTTATTATGACGTAATGCAACTTGCACATGCGGCAATGACTTAGAATCGGCGTATAAAGCTGGATTCTTCGTTAATTGCTTCGTTATTACCAATAATTGTAATGGTACTTTATTGGCAACAATTTCTTCTTTTAATTTACTCAGGTAGCAAAAAATATTCTCCACTCGTTCATCCGGACTTTGTTCGCAAAGAATTTGATTTAAAACAATTCTCCCAGCAGACGCTGCTAATTGCGACCAATCTCTTCTTACAATGTCCAATCCTTTAATTTCTTGTATTTCATTTAACTGTCCATGTTTCCCTTTAACTAACGATACTGCGGCATATTTTTTCTTTTTAAGAAGTAAAAGATATTTAAATACTCCGTCAATATCTAATTCTACTTGTTTATACATTTTATTAATTTCTTGTTTAATGCTTTTTCCGATTTTGAATACTTGTTCATAATCATTTGAATTAGTATTTATCATTATACTATCAGTATCGCCGTAGATGACATCAAACATCAGTTTTTGTGCAATATCTTTAGTATTTATTAATATTTCTCTGCCTTTTTGGGTAACTAAAGCTGCTAAAGGCTTAGCGTAAAATCGAGAATTACTGAAACCCAAACATCCGTACATACTGTTTGCTGTTAGTTTTAGAGCCATTTGTCGAATATTATATTGCATTTGTAAATCTTGCGATAAATCGGAATTATTCATCAATTTTTTTACTTCTCGTCTACTTTCAACTAATTTCCTAATTTCAGATGGTAATATACCAGGCGGTATCGATTTATCTGGAAGAGTTATATCTTCATTGTCGGATAGATTAATGGTTGTAAAGCAAATATTATATTCCTGTATAATACTCGGATAAAGAGAATTGAAGTCCATAAGCAAGATCAATTTATCATAAAACCCAATTTTTGGATCCAAAACCAATCCCCCTGAATAAGCAGGTTTCTTTCTCTTCGAATTAGACTTTTCAAAGTCATCTTTCCTTTTTATATATTTTTCAGGTACTATATAGTCGCGTTCATTAAACGCGTGCATAAGTAAATATTCATTTCTTTCGGAGCGACCTCCCATTAATGTTTTAGACATAACATTGCCTGCAATATTTGTAATCTGTAGTGCTAATGGTAGGACACTTAACTCGTACATCATTTTCAAAATATATGCGGTATCTTGCATGGTAAGAGAAATCATTTTGAACAAATCAAGAGAATTAGTATACATGGAAGGTACATTTTCAGGTTCAATTTCTATACGATGCCCTTCTGGCAGTTTTAATATATACTGACATAATGAATCTAAATCATACGATCTTGATTTAATTAATTCTTTAGCGCTCAGCTTTATGTCACAAACTAAACGACCAGCAAAAAGGCTCTTTTCGATATTATACTTATTAAAATTACCATTCGACCTTTTAATCTTTGATAATCTGCTAAAATTTTGCACGTTTGTTTTCATTAATCGTTCACCCAATATATTTAATTGATAACCGTTCATATCGTGACCAACAATCAGATCAGGATCGATTTTAGAAAATTGTCCTAGAAAATAATTCAGTAAAGCACGTTCAGAGTCCATTTTTTGAACTTTTGTTGCTTTGTATTTGGATAGCGAGGAATGCATATCAACTGGAAGCATCTGGTCATTTAATTTTGTTAAAACTAGAAAAAAAAAAGAAAAATGTATATACATATAACAATTGCAGCTACACTATCTTTAATTATAACATACCACAAAAATGCTCTTGAAACGGCGGTGTTGGAGCTTGCTTATCCACATAATATCGATTATTAATTAGAGAAGATATCAGAGCAATTTGATTTTCACCATTAATATTTACTGCCAATTTTATATTTAAAGCTAAAACAACCAATGGTGGCGGTGGTAAAGGTTTTGTGGCTTGAATTACAGATATGTTAGAATATTTTTCGCAAGTCATCTCTATAGTTGAATATGTATAGGGATTCATGGAGATATCTGCATTTTTAACGCTCAGCCAACAAGGTCCTTTAATTTTTCGATCTAATAGCAAGATTTCGAGGAAACCACTATTTGCTCCAAAAATTCGAGAAATTGTATAAAACCTTTTATTTAAGAAATTAATATTTCCCTAGAAATAATGGAGTTAAAATGATTATTAATTAATTGGTAGTTTCATACTCACAGTATATCTCACTTCAAGATATTCACTGTCTATTGGGACGGTTGAATCAAAAGCATAGTGTTTCATTACTTTCTTTGATTTATACGACAATATTTGATCATTATTTTTCATTTCTGTATTAAATTCTTCATATACATCCTCAAATGTTACTTCTGTGCAGGTTGGTTCAAAAGCTTCATTCAGTTTCTAAAATACAATAATATTATAGAAATATGATAAACTGTATATGCACTTTCATACATATTTTCTTGGTAATAAAAATATCTTCCTTTCAATATTTTTAATGACAACACAACAACTGATAAATTTTTTGTCCTTTTCAGAAAATGTTTTACCAAAAAGTAAAACTACGCCAGGTTTATTTATAGCATCTTCATAAGCATCCCACCAAAAGAATGTGAAAGACTGAAATTAAATAATTAGTATAGAACAAAAACTAAGCATTATACATGTACATTAGTATCATGATTCATTTCTGACATATCTACAGTTAAGTCATCAAAAATGTCTTCATTATCTCCAAAGTTCAGATCATCCACAAAATCGTTTGTTTTTCTTTCCTTGATATTATGAATATTTGGTTCATCATCTATTTGACTAAAGTCAAAATCATCATCAAAAAATATTTCTGAACTAAGTTCTTCAGCTTCTATCTGCAAATATAATTTTGTAATATATTAATTCTGTATCACTAATGATATACATTATTGTCATATCTTACTTTTATATTTTCTACCTTTGATATAGTTTTAATGGGTTCTGCAATTTGGAACAATAATTTGGATTTTTTGTTACTATCATTTAAATTACTGGTTTGTGGTTGTTTTGAATCCTCAATGACTGATTCAGTTTTGGAACTTTCTCCAATCTCTTCTTCTATATTGTTGGTAGTTGAACTACAATTAATTTCTTTCCTAACTTTAGGCTTGCTAGCAGCAAAGTTTTTCATATAGTCTCCAATAGCTTTCTTTTCAGCGATCAATGAAAAATTAGAAATTGCCTTTGGTTTAATTCCTATTTTTGTATCAGGCTTATCTATTTCTGTTAGTAATTCAGACAAAACATTATCTTCATCTAAATTCACAACATCTTTTTTCTTATTAGGTAAATTTGACATCATAAATTGTATTTTTCCTTTCCCAGAATTTTCAGAAACATGTTTCTTTTTTCGTTTCTTTCCTTTGCTTTTCATGGATGCATTAGCAATTGATTCTGAATCCAAATCATCATCAAAAACTTCCCTGCCATCTTCAACATATCCACTACCACCTGCTAAAAAGTTGAATATTCATAATAAAATATAAGAATTATATGAATATATTACCATCATCCACAATCCAATCATCATCTTGTCTCTCCAATATTCTTTTTGTATACTCATTTTCATCAACATTGTCATAAACATTATCGATTTCATCAACTTCATATTTATGTTTTGAACCTTTTAATTCCTTCAATTTCTGAAGTGCAGCAAATCGACCAAATTTATCTGTCTTTTGCCTTTTAACTCTAGGCTCAGCTTAAAAGTTACACATTTTATTAAATTCTTTTCATATATGATTTGAATACTTACCCACAATTTCATCAGACATTTTTACTTGTAAACTTATTAAATAATAACAAAGTATTATTTTATGTATTTTAAATATTTATAACCAACTAAAAAGGGCATACCATGGGGGCATACGAAACACTCACAAACACCACTGAATATTATTTGGCGGTAAAATTAACCTCTGCTATTGAAATCATTGTAACCAACAATGAAAAAAAAAATATTTTATTTACATGTTGGCACAAAATTAATGTGATTTTTTTTTTCATATTTTTTTAACTTTGTTTACAGCTAGGGTTCTCAAACTTAATATCAAAAGTTTTTCGCGGCGCCCCAAGTCAAAACATTGATCTGCATTGATCTATCTCAGGGCGAACTTTATATTAATAGTAGTTATTCTTCAAATAAAAATTAAATATGAATAGAATACATATATTTAAGATATATTTGAATATTATATTAAATGTCTTTATTCTGGCTGGCGAAATTGTTCTTGATATAAGCAAAGTGAAGAAGAAGTCTTTATTCTGAAATGAACTGCTTTTGTGGTCCATGCCCTTGCATAGTTCAGTAATGATCAATGTCATAATAGCCTTACTCGATTAGAATATAATTTAAGTATCATTAAAAGCACTTGTTTGTTTTAGTATTGTTGTGTCCCAATGATGAAATTCTGGACACAGTGGGATATTGGTGTTGTTGCTATGGAATCTCAGTAGTTAGGAATTAAGTAAATCCAATAGGTTTCATAATATCTTTATTAATAAATGTAGCCATTGAGACTAATTCTAAAAGACATATTCTACTTACAAAGTTAATTATTAAGCATTCCCACTGGAATCAGCCCGGGGAGTTTTTGTTTATATGAAAAAGTGAATCGATTATGTCGAGAACATATATTTTTACGCGATTTTTTACTCGTATGCATCAGGAACCATTCTACCTTGTACAAACAAATTTGAGTGTACTTAACGTCTGCAGTAAATAGGCCATTTATAAACAATATGACGAACGAAATTGTTATGTCCCAATAGTAACTCCTATATTTAAATTTCGCGCGATAATGTGTAATCAAATGAAATACGCTTTTAAATACATTCTAGATTTTGTGAAATCCTCAATGAGAAGAAAGGTTATTACTTTCTGCTTTCTTCAATATTTTAATCCTAAAATATTTGATTATAGCACAATTGTTTAAAATAAATGTAACGTGTTCTTAATGTTTTGCTCTGTAACAAAATATATGTAAATATATGTAAAATAGGGGCGGCTGTAGCCGTGTGGCTGTGGTCGTCTGTATTACGAAAATCTGATACGAAAGGTTCAATTCCGAAAAATCAACAAAAATTTGTGGTGGCTGTTAAACCCGAAAGGGGTAGAAATAGGGCCGGAGAGATTTATATCAATAAATAAATTGATATAAATCTCTATTTATTTAAAAAAAATATGTAAAATAGCATTGACGTTATCTTTAAATCAAAGTAATTTTTAAATAAATGTCATATTTGTATTCATCGCAAAACAAAAATCAAAGCCACAAAAATTTTCTGTACAACATCAAAAGTAAATGAATTGTATGAAACAAGATCTATTCTAAATCATCTAGTGTTGGATTTTCGTACTAACTTGTCTGGTGTGAAGTAGTGTAGTAAAGGGACGCTTGTGGATTGGTTTATACATAAAGACGTTGCGTGTCGTTTGTCATGCGCACTGTTGTCCTTGCATAGAAAAGAAAAAGGAGGTTTGCGCAGGCGCTTTTTGAACATAGCGCGAGGACAGAGTGAATAAAGTGGTGTGAGTGAGGAGGAAGGAGACCGTAATTCCAAACGCCTTTTGTGATTTTGCCAAAGACGCTTTGGATACCATTTAGGATAAATATATATTACTAAAAGAGAAATTTCAAACGCTAAGTAACACGAAGTTCTAATCAACGTACTGATTTGTAGTAATATGAGTAATGCACCCAACCACAATGGATCAGGTCTAGAGCAGCAGGTTAGTCGCATTATATTTATACATCCTTTTTATTAGACATTATGTTCGTTGTCTGGCCTTACATGTGTCTAGCATGTAATCTAGAATCTTTGAACTAAAAAATACAAGTATGTTCTTCCACGTTTTTCCGACCCGGAAACCTTAATGGAGGTCGTTTTGCTAATGCTGTGTGGATTTGTGTGTATGTAGAAGTGGATGCGCGTGTGTTCCCCATTATCGATCCACATTTTCAAGTTCAATGCAATTTTACTCTTTGAATAGCATCCATTATGAAAGTTATAATATAAATTTTAATTCCTTCATTTTATACCTATTATGCTAGAACGGTTTTTCTGAATGATTATTTTCGTAAAATATAGTAGCAAAAATGAGCTTATATTCTTTTTTTTAGTACATAACCTACAAATTTTCCTGGGAATTTAACCAAGTGCTTTATTGATTTTAAATTAATGTGTTTGCTGTATGCTTTATTATTGTTAGTTGATTTTCTAATGGCGCTTAAAAATATAAACTATTGCTGATTTTATAAATGTTCCACAATTTCATTTAATTGCTAATAGATTTTTAATTTTGCAACATTTTTTTTAGAAAGATTATCTTTTAAAATAATATTTTAAATAATCTTTTAGATTTTTTTAAGTAATTGTTTTCTTCTTGTCCTTATACACATTCATAAGTGAAGTTATTTGTCATAACTAAATATTTAACATGTGTAATTAATATATTATCAAAACATCTTTATGAAATATTCAATTAATTTAGGGGTCTGTGGGTATCTACAAATTTAATAATATACTCATGTTTTTTTTTTATTGAGTATACATTTGATTTTCAATTTTTAATTGAATTTTATTTTGTTGATAGTTTGCTGGTCTGGACTTGCAGGGCCGCAACAGCGGCGGCGGCAGATATATTCCACCCCATTTACGTAATAAGCCAAACCAATCCAGCACTCCTGATAGTAGAGAGCGCGGAGAATCTCGCGGTGGTGGCAGCAGTCGCGGTGGTAGCAATTACGGTCGCGAAAACTTTAGTCGTGGGGGTGAAAGTCGTGGTGGTGAGAGCCGCGGTAACACTCGCGAGAGAAACGAGCGTTATGGGGATTTCTCTAGCTTTAATACAAGAACTAGACGCGACAATTTCCAAAATGGTGATGGCAGTGATAGGGAGAATTTTGCCCGCGGGGGATCTCGCTATTCAGACAGAGAGCAGCGGGAACTTCCTCGCAATGATCGCTGGCAGGAGCCTGAGAAATCATCCCGTTGGAACGACGATCGTGGCGAAAGTCGCGGTAATAGTAGGTGGAACGATAGCAGAGATGGTGGACGCAGTAATGCAGATTGGACCGTTCCATTGCCTCGGGATGAGCGAGTTGAACTTGAGCTCTTTGGTACCGGTAATACAGGCATCAACTTTAATAAATACGAAGACATACCCGTCGAAGCGACTGGTGAAAAAGTGCCAACTCACATTGCATCTGTAAGTTATCTATTTTATTCATGTTGTGCAGATATACATTATCTAATTTCGTTTTCAGTTTGAGGAAGTACAGTTGACAGAAATAATTAGGCAAAACATAGCTTCGGCACGTTATGATACTCCGACTCCTGTGCAGAAATATGCCATACCGATTATTTTGGGACGCCGTGATGTGATGGCATGCGCTCAGACTGGTTCTGGTAAAACGGCAGCTTTCCTTGTCCCTATATTGGATCAGATGTATGAGCAGGGCCCTCCAGCTAATATGCAACGTAGTCAACGCAGGAAGCAATTTCCACTTGGATTAGTCCTTGCACCTACCAGAGAACTGGCTACTCAGATATATGATGAAAGCAAGAAGTTTGCCTACCGTTCGCGAGTAAGACCGTGTGTTGTGTAAGTACAGTTTGGGAATATTGTTAATGTTTTATTTATAAATTCAAAATTATTTCAGTTACGGTGGATCGAACATTGTTGAGCAGATGAAAGAATTGGACCGGGGATGTCATTTATTGGTAGCTACACCTGGTCGTTTAATTGACATGTTAGAACGCGGTAAGATTGGACTAGATCATTGCCGTTTTCTTGTTTTGGATGAGGCAGATCGTATGTTGGATATGGGTTTTGAGCCTCAAATTCGAAGCATCTTGGAAAAAGATTCTATGCCACGTACAGGTATTCGTCAAACACTTATGTTCTCGGCGACCTTTCCATCTCCTATTCAGATGTTGGCGCGTGATTTTCTTGATAATTATATTTTCTTGGCTGTCGGCCGCGTTGGTAGTACATCTGAAAATATCACACAAAAAGTAGTTTGGGTGGAAGAGCACGATAAGCGCTCTTTCTTACTCGACCTCTTGAATACAGCAGATTTTACACAACCATCATCTGAAAGTTTAACTTTGGTGTTTGTTGAAACCAAGAAGGGAGCAGATTCCCTTGAAGAATTTTTACACATGGATGGATATCCAGTAACTTCCATTCATGGTGACCGCACACAGCGCGAGCGAGAAGATGCATTGAAGGCGTTCAGATCAGGAACTAAACCTATTTTGGTTGCAACAGCTGTTGCTGCTAGAGGATTGGATATTCCTCATGTTAAGCATGTAATCAATTTTGATTTGCCATCAGACGTAGAGGAATACGTTCATCGTATTGGCCGTACAGGGCGTATGGGTAACTTGGGCCTGGCAACATCATTCTTCAATGATCGCAATCGTAATCTAGCAACTTCTATGTTGGATCTTTTGGCGGAAGCCAAACAAGAGGTACCTAGTTGGTTAGAAAGTGTTGCATCTGATGGGCGCTCCGCCAGTTCTGGTCGTAGAGGAGGTAAAGGTCGTTTTGGTGGCGGAGGATTTGGAGGTAGAGATTTTCGTCAGCAAAGCGGTGGTAGCAGTGGTGGAATGCAACGCACTCAACGATCCGGTAGCAGTTACGGTGGTGGAAATAATGGATATGGCGGAAGCGGTAAGTTTACTAATAACATAGTTATCTGCTATATTGATAGTACTTATTTGATGTAGGAGGCTACTACGGCAATGATAGAGGAGGCAATTATGGAGGAAACTATGGCAGCAGTAATAATGCTCACGACACATGGTGGGAGAATTAAATGTTTTCAATATCCACAACCAATAGTAAGCGAGTTTAAAATTATCCCCTCCCAATTTATTTTCAATTACAATCCCCATATCTTATACAATTACCAATTAATTGATAGGTGTACATCCAGGGTTTTTTTTTAATTTAAGAAACTGATTCTTATTTTTTTTTTATTAATAAACAATCCCTTTTATATTTAGGGCATTATATTATTGTATACAATATTTGAATGAAAGATACGTTAATGTTTATTTATTAATAAGATTTGCATTATTTTGTCCACACACTTCTGTCAATGTCATAACCTTCCTGGATGTTTCTTATAATTTTCTTGATTTTATACGTTTGAATAATATAAATGGATTTTTAAACTAAAGTTAATAGTAGGTGACTTTTAGGGTCACTTGGTAGCAATTGTAAAAAAAAATAATATTATTTTTTCTTTTGATACAATGGGTTCAAATTATTTTGCAAATATTGATTTTTTTGCTTGATTTCTGGTTTAATAATACTAATTTTTAAAATAATTTTGCTATCCCAAAAATAAAATATTCATTGCATGACATGTCAAATTCTATGTTCAGATTCACACCATTGATTACAAGGTACAATGTCTTATCTATGTGATTTTACATTAATTTAACAATAAAATTAAGAGTAAATGAAATCTTTTAAATTCCAGTCTCATTTTATCAGTTTTTTTTACTAAACTGATGGAAGTAGCTGTGTTTTTGTATAGTTTATTTACGAATAGACTTATAATTGTCCGATATATGTAAGTTTGGTGATAAAATGAAATTTTGCAGGATCTGATAAAGGAAAATCGTGTTATCACGAAAATAAACAACATTTTTCTTAATTAACTATTTATTATTAATGAGTTATTATTTTAAAAATAAGTAATTGTGTTATAAAATTTGTTGTTTATTTATTTTGATTTTGATGGTGGTTATTTATACAATATAAATAATGTTTAATATTTAAAATAATGTAGCGTGTTGCAGTTACAGCTGTTGAGCGCTAAGAGTATTCTGGTAAATACGACTGTGATATATATCCAATCTTAATGATAAGTCTATTTATTGAAAAGGCACAAATTAATCTAGGCGCATGAAAATACAAAAAATACATTTTTTTAATATTGTACAAAAGAAAAACGAAAATTAAAACGACTAGGGAAATTAAGCCAGTTTTATACTGGAAATGAAAATTAATGCCATTGGAGGCAGTCGTGTTAAGTCGACCATATTCGAGAATTAATCTTAGCGTTGGTTACATAACAAATATATTTGTAGTATATTTAAATTAATATTTTATTTATATTCTCTTCATTCGTGTATAAATTTTATTTTAGTACATGTAAATTACTTTACATTCTCGAATTGAAATAACATACAATTCAGATTCATTTCCTCAAACATCTTTCTTCTCATAATTTTATTGTTATTATAAATAGCGATGTGCACATTTATTTCACAAACTTATAATTATTCCTTTTTTAAATTAATTTTTACTTACTACCCTGTGATAACAGTTAGAAACTTGTGCCTAATGGAGAGTGTTATGATTACAAAGTAATATAATAGGAAAATCTATGGGGACAATTACAATTTTGTGACTTTTATCACGTTCTAAGTTTAAAAAAAAAACATGTATATATATATGCAAATATTAGAACAAAAGAAAATAATGAAATAATTGTTTTGAGCTGTGACTGCAACCTTTGAAACGAGATGAAAAGTAAACAAAGAAAGACTCACTAAGGAAATGTTTCTTTTATTGATATTTAACAAGCAAATTTTAACACTTGAACAGGGTATATCTGACATATGATTTCATATATTTTAATTTCCAGCACTCTGTTCATTGTTTGTAACAATTTATATTGTTAAATAATGATGTAAGATTGTTATTAATACAAAATAATATGGGATGGCAAAATGCTGTAATAATGTGTATACTATCTTTAAGTTGTTCTTAAGTTATTTATACCTGAAGAGCGAATGAAATTATTTAATATTGATTATTGATATTTTATATGAAAATTATCAAAACAAATGAAAACGAAGGAATGCAAGTAATTTCATGTATAGTAATAAACAGTGAAAATTATATAGATATGTTGTGGTAGTTAAAAATATGCTGTAATAGCAAATTTGGTATTAATAAATTTATTTCAAACGTCTTTTATTTTATTGCAATGTTTTATCCATATTCAAACTTACACCTGATTACTTACTAATATTAAATTGTCTATTTTCCCAAAAATTGTATATCATCTATTCTTGAAGATCATTGCGTATTTATTATAACAGCAATTCATGCATACATTCGTTTCCAAAAACAATAAAATTATATACAATCTTAAACAATCTTATTGACAATATTTATTGGAACAACCATGAAATTGTAACTTTAATTTATAGGATCGAAGCAGAATTGATGGCTTATGCGAAGGAAGAGAAGTACATCTTAAGTATTCGTTCCGTGCTATTTTTTATTTTAAACTTTTCGGTTGAACTACTGTGTTCTCTATCATCTATGAAGTTTCAGTCTTATTCTGGGTTTATCAAGTGTTCGAAAAATAATTTCAGTTTATTGTGTTTTTAAATTGTTATTTGTGTGTTAAAATATAATACGTATCAGGTAAGTAAATCGAAACAAATATTTTAGAGGCGTTCAGATCAGGAACTAAGCCTATTTTGGTTGCAACAGCTTTTGCTGCTAGAGGATTGAATATTCCTCATGTTAAGCATGTAATCAATTATGTTTATCCATCAGACGTAGAGGAATACGTTCATCGTATTGGCCGTACAGGGCGTTTGGGTAACTTGGGCCTGGCAACAGGCAATGATCGCAATCGTAATCTAGCAACGTTTATGCTGGATCTTTTGGCGGAAGCCAAATAAGAGGTACCTAGTTGGTAAGAAAGTGTTGCATCTGATGGGCGCTCCGCCAGTTCTGGTCGTAGAGGAGGTAAAGGTTGTTCTGGGTTTATCTAGTGTTTGAAAAATAATTTCAGTTTATTGTGTTTTTAAATTGTTATTTGTGTGTTAAAATATAATACGTGTTGAGGTAAGTAAATCGAAACAAATATTTTGGTAATTAACCAATTGTTCGTTCTTGATTGCGTGAAATTTTGTAAATCCAGTGGCGCGTTATCGCATAGGCAAGGTAGGCGCGCGCCAAAGGCCTCTAGAATTACGAGACCCTCAAATCGCCAAAAAACGTAATGATTTTCACAGCAGGGTCAATGGGGCCCTCCAAATCAGGTTGCGCCTAGGGCCTCACAAAGTCATGATGCGCTACTGTGTATATCGTCAATAATTTTTCCATCAAGCATCTATAATGAAAAATTGTATAGAATATAAGCGTAAACCGTAATTAACCAGAACGTAAAATTCAACTTTTTTTCATTAAATTAATTCATAATTGCTTCCTTTCATGTATGCTCTTTGATGGTAGTGTGCTAATGTTTAGGTTTATTTATATAAAAATTCAAAAAAAAAAAAAATTTCGACATTGTATTGGTAGGTTTATTGTTAATAGAGTATATAAACAAACAATATATAAGAGACATCCACGAAGTCTCTTTGAATACTCCGAATTATTTTTTCAAATAAACAAATACATTATAAACAAAACCATCAAGGCCGAATTCAATGGAAACGCTTAATCAATGTAAATAAAACCCTACTCCCCATCACAACTCACACCCCATAATAATAAGATTATATGTATTAATAAACGGAAATCATGCCGCGTTTACCCCGACCACCCACCCAAAGAGAAAATTTGAAGAGAAAGCACAAGTCTTGCGCAACTAACAAATGAACAAATGCAAGTGATTAAAAAGGATATTTGTAAATATGACCGAAGAAACATGTGCATGTGCACTAATTAAGGATTATTTATTTTGTATTTTCAATTTTATAATTGAAAACAATAGTTCCCTACTGTTGTTTTCAATTAATTATTGACCAAATTTTGATATTGACTATTTTAAATTTGAACTTTAATTAATTTAAATTGTTTTTTATTTTAAATTTTAATTGGAACCGAAACCGAACTCAAATTTAAACCGGAACGAAATTAATTTCGGTTCTACTCTGAATGCAACATATTTATTGCAACTAATTTAGTTTTTATTTGCTAAACAAATTCAATTACAATTTAACAAGTAGACTCTACTTAATTTTAGTTTTATAGTGATTCAAACTCATGACAAGTTGCATATTGGAGACTCATCAATTGCTGTAGCTGAAAACAGTAGGAAGTTGCCAAAGCTTGAGGTTAAGTAAATAAATCAATGAAGTATCTACTGAACAGACTTTGATCATGAAACGATATTATTAATTATAGTAGTCCTCTGATTCTTGTAGTTGATTGTTTATTAATTGATGAAGATAGAAAATTCTCCACGTACGTGCGAAAGATGACGGATGATGGAATGTTTGTTGTTCCTTGTGTATTTGGAAATATAAAACTTGGTCATATCACAGACCATAGCTTACCATGGCATGGCAGCATGGCATTTAACAATTTTAATTGTCTGTATGAGCTTCATATTAATTTTGGTGAAAAAAGTATATTAATAAAGTATCATTAGAAATAGTATATGTTATTTATGTTGCCTATAATACAAATCTATAGTTTGAAGTATGCGTGCGCACGATGTACATACATTTATTTCAGTCTGCTTCTAGCGAGTCGTTCCGACCAGTAATTCTTTGTGCAGCGTAATTCGCCAACAGTCCAGTGTGAACGATGCACGCGGTAATATCGCATTAGATCTAATTCTGTTTCTCACCTATCTCATAAAATAGGTTACGAAGGACCTTCTTTTTATTTTCATTTTTATTTCTACATTGCATATTTTCTTTAAAATTTCGTTTGGGACAAGTACTTCCATTTTATCGACACCGCAGCGAAAAGAAAGACAAGAATGAATTCTCCTTGGCGTAAATTATCTACACTCGCGTTCTTCCTCGCGTTATGCTGTTACATGAGTGATCATAATTCAGTGTCTGCAAGAAATGTCGAAAACTCTAGACAGAAAAGAGCTTTGGCATCCACAAATACTTGTGATAGTGTGAAAACGTTTTTTCAATCAAGGAATATACCTTTACGACCGTCGAATAGCCCTAAAGGTAAACACATACTAAGAAGCTGTATTTATATTCATTAAATAATAAGTGTTTATTACCGTATAGAAATAGAATAATATTAATCATGATGATGCTGATATTGGATTTCAATTGAGTTTAACATCTTTAATTTATCACTATTCCATCCAGTGTTTGTTTGATATATAATTTCAATTGATTATAGCTCATTCTGCTCATCCCAAACAATTGTAGTTTAGGTGTGTCGTCCGAAGGCGTATAAATAATATGACATTTTAAGCTCTTCATCACTAACACGATGGTCATTAACTGCATCTCTAATCATATTTAATTTCTAACGCGTTACAAATTGTAGGCGATCTATATGACTATAAAATATATATTTTAACATATACAATTTATATCATTTTCATTTATATTATACTTGTTCTTTTTGCTCATTAACCCTTCAGCCCATTGATAATTAACACAGACTTTTATATTTGGACTAGTAGGTCACTTCTGTTCTAATGCAACAAATGCGCCAAGCGTTATTTTTACAATTTGCACTCGTAAGATTGTGTTCACCATTATCATCCACTATTCTCTATAATTTAAATATTAAATTTGGGAATTCGACAATTAATAAGTATTCACAGAAATATGGGGTTATAAAAAATATTTCTTTTTTAAGTACTTTTGAGTTTTTTGTGTGTTAAATAATTTAAGATTTTATTATTTCCATTTCAATGAAATAGGTACGCTTCTTTAATTTATATTAATTACCTTGAGTTTCAAATAATCTTTATTGATGTATCAAATTTAAATGCTTGTTCCCATTTCTGTGCGTCGTGACTTTACATGGGTACTTGCGAATTAGCTATAGAATTATATTTGAATAGATTACATTTAATCTAATATTGAATGAATTGTTTAATGCTTACAATTGAAAATAACGATTATATTGTAATAGATTCAATTCGATTTAACTTTATTTAGACTAAATAAATATTGCTACTATTACTTGAATAAATTCACATATATAGATGAATAAATTGTAATAATTTATAGTCAGCGCATAGATGAAATTGAATTATACTATCAAAGTGATTTAAATTTTGAATGGATAGTTCAAAGTTTTATATAAAGTAATTGAACGGGTCGAAACTTGTTTAGTGGGGTATAATATAATCTAAATCCTCCGGGAGAAGGTGGATAGAGTGAGACCAGGAGATTTTAATAACATAACTCAAATAGTGCTTCTGCAATAATCAGTTTAACAAAGTTTGAAAATATGATTTTCACGCGAAAATTTGAAATATAGTATGGTAACACAATGTAGTTATTGTTGCATGCTTGGCTGTCGTTTGTTATACAATAACTAGTATGTGGTTTGTTGTTTGGAATAAAAGGTGATAGGGGTTTAGGGTTCTGCAGATGACTATGCTTGTTTTCGCAGTTCTTTCCTTGCAGTCTGAAAAGGCGCCAGGTAGTTTTTAAAGTTTCTACATCCTCACCCACACAATGCCTGAAACTAAAATTTATTACTGCAATATTCAATATTTCATGTTATTTCCATAGCTGTCATAAATCTCACGCAAGGGATCTGGACAAAAATTCACATAATAGATAGAATTAACAGTTACCAAAATATACCACTACCTGGTAAAGAAAAAATGGAATTCAGTAAAATACGATCTAACTTAATAATTATTTTAGGAGATAGAATTTCTTCAAGTAAATTCTTTATCACCTCAAACAAGTTATAAAAATACATTTTTGTTAAAACTAAATAAAAAAACACCTTTTATTTCTTTATTTATAATAGATGGATTCAATGTCTTTTGTTCAAGTGTTGTCCTGTTACAAATACAAATAGTGTTCGAAGCAGAAATATATAAATTATAAACAAATTTATTGTTATTCAGATTTTCATTAAATAAAATTATACATAATTCTATATGTAATGCAATGACTTTTAGTTATCGTTTTGTTAGTTGTACAATAAGTGCAACTGTCTATTTAAATAAAAGCATAGAATAGGTTCAGTTAGGAAATCAATTATATGGAGAGTATAGTTCGCGTTAGAGAAATATAAGTGTACGTGTGGGAATGCAAGACGCGATCAATCTTTGCAAAAAGGAGAGATGAAAGAATTGTGAATAGGGCAAAAAAATGAAGAAACTTGGATACAAAAAGGTGGAGAAGACTACTGTCGCGCAGTGCTTCGCAACGAGTGAATCCAGTCATGAAACAAGTGAACAATTTATGTCTTCATAGACTGAACAAAGACGGCAACGGTAAAGTGCTTAAAATGAATTGCTTACATGCTTACAAAATTATCGTACAAAAATATTTTTAATTATAACTTCTAATGTTTGTATTATGATAATTAAATATTTTTCTATTGCATCTGCAGTATTCGCAGACTGAATGTTTAAACAAATTAAACGATTTTATTTTTTCTAGTGCAATTTTTATAATATATTATATATAGCTTCTATTATAATGAATGAGAGATACTTGGTTATTGGTATTTTGTGAATTGGACCTCTCCTCGGTCTTTAACCCGAACATTCTATATATATAGAAGTAACCAGTCCGGTTTATATGAAGGTGATTATATGTTTTGGGGTACCTTTTTATATACCGTCACATAGCACTGACCTTAGTATGGAATGGCCCTGATCAGCCGGTAAAAAATACCAACCAGACTCGTAGGTGCATTCCTTTGACGTTATACCATACTATACATACCTACACTCTTCGTCTCTTATAAAACGGCCAAAAGCTGCATGTCCTTTTCTACCTGAACTCGAATTTTAGACCTTCCAAAACTTTCATACCATTCGAAATTATCTTCAATTATATATTATTTTGCTGCTAATCAATAAATTATTTTAAAAGTTTATAACCTGGTATACGTAATATTTATAATTCATACCAAAATAAACATTTTGTATTAATAATAAATCTTTACGTCTTCTCCTGGTAGTGCTTTGGTTCACTTAAGAGTTAGATCACTCGAAATCACGTCAACTATTTAATATTTATATAAAAAAAATATTTTTAAATAAAATTATTTATTACTTATATAATAATATATTATATAATTATATGATATCATTTGGCTAAAGACTGCGGTTAACAGCCCTTTGTATGTTATACATTACATTTTGTGTATCATTAATCAAATCATCGGAAATACAAATAAAATATCATCAGATTATTGTTGTAGTTGTTCAAGTCCACAAATATGTTTTTTTAATGCGCTATACTGTTATATACGATTGTTACTAATTTACGAGATACATTCGAGTTTAGTATGATAGTTATTCTATTCTCTTTCAAAATACATAAAATTCTTACAATTTTTGGACAAAGGATGGACATCATAAAACTTACTGGGCAGGACAGGTATCAAATCCCTCCACGAGTTTTATTAGTTCCGCACCAGGGAAAGGTGTACATTCAGTACATCAGATTAAAAATATTTTAATTTATTTTATAACGTTTTAAATAAAAAAGTAAAAAAATAAATACATATAGATAATTCTAATTATTGATTCAAATAATTACAAGATTGAAACCTTTCTGATTAAAAAAAAACTGTTTATAAAGTCATCGAATGTTGTAGATTAGCGAATATCTATGTGCATCAATAATAAGGTCGTATCAATTAATGGTTCTTGAATTGGCTTCGAAGTTTGTTGGTTCGTATTTTAAATTGTAACCGTGCAGTCAATTTACTTGTATCTTTAAAATTGTGCTCTATAATAGAGTGATTTATTTTGTATCAAGGTCGGATTTATATTTTGTCAGGATACGCGAAATATTTTTGGCGTCTTTCCTTCTCGGCCTTTAGCACTGAATCGATAAGTGTGGCGCCGCGAAGTTGCTGAACGTACAGTGTAGTGGGTATAGCAAACCTCCCCCACTCTCGTTCTACTTCCCTCATACGATAGAGAAGGCGTCGGAGGCGGCATCAGCGATGGCGACGACTATCAATTCCCAGACCGTACCCGAATATATCTATCTATATTTTCGAGCCACCCTAAAATTCAGCAACTACATTTACATTCACAAAATGGATGTCTATATTTTCTTTTCTCGATAATGGAAAACAGCTTTAGTATATATTTGGATTTAAAAATTTGATAAATCTATTTATTTTATGCACTTACTAGAAATATTAGTGATAAAGAACAAATTCCTATATTTGCAAGAAACCAGTAATACAAATACTTAAAGATAAAATGACGACTTTTCAATGACATATTTATGAAATATTTGGATGTCACTTGCTTAAATAACAATTACAGACTTCGAACACTCTGCTAATTGACCTTTAACATTATACAAACAATTTCGTGCCAATTTAATAAACATTATTGATCTAAATTTAAAAATACTATGTGATATACAACTTAAATAAGTTGATAATAACGGAAGAGACGGCAAATATGTTGGCATCTAAGTTACACAACAAAATATGTATTCTTGAATTTTAATCCAAATATTTTTTTTATCCCAAAGTCGGAATTTCTCATTAAAAGAACCGCATGCGGCTTAGAATCCGAGGTTTGCCGACTACTCTCCAAGAGTTTTGGAAAAAATATTTCCATATTGTAAAGAGGTACAAACACTTTTTAGGAACGAATTATACTCGCAAATTAAACTTCTACTGCTCGGCAAACATCTACTAGGACATATTTCAGAATCACGGGAGTTCGGTGGGCGACCACCAAACTTTTAGTGTGTGAGTTATTGAAAAAAACTACAAATGTTTGTTGTTCAAATTTAAAATATTGATTATTGAATATTTGACCAGCGGGTACTTTAAAGCTTTAAAATGGTGCCCGCGAGCACTAATTGCACCACGTTGCTGACCCCTGCTCTACTGTATAGAGCAATTACAATCTCTTTAATTATATCACTTGAAAATTATATATCGTAATTAAACAAATATTTTTTTTTGGGAAAATCTCGTTCTATTCGTGAAGAACTAATTCTATCGGCTAGCATTTTTCATTATCACTACCATA